GGTTTGATCCGGTACGAGCCGAGCGTGCTAGGTATCGCATTTATGCATTTGTGAACAAGACATCGCTAAATCCAGGTAGCAAGACCCTCGATCCAGTCGATAATACACGTGATCTACATGAAGTGTTAGTTGCCAAGGTTTCTAGCTTGCGCCAAGTGGATGAGTTTGCCAGATCCGAAGTCGCTTCAACCCTGTATCTACAAAAAGGAGAGGCGCGTGGTTATTGGGAGAAACGCCAGCATGGTCGATGGTTTGAGCCTACCAAAGGTGAGGTCACTGCAGATCCACCTAAGGTCTGTCAGGTCACTGGATCCCGTGGATCTGAGGATGTTAGATCGTTTCCTGGCCGAACAGGGTATGAGAGCGCCCGTGCCACAAGCGCAAGTGCTCCACGAACATGGAGCACGAGACGTGGAGATGGAGTCAGTGGAGGGAGACAACTCCCATGATGAGTTCGACCCAGATGATCTGGATGGTCCATCCCCTTCGTCAGCGGTGGTAGCAACAGCCACAGCCGGGGCGGGTGGATCGTCCATGATCCAGAGGGTACGGATCTCAGCCATATCGGATCTGAAGGTGTTCACGGGCAAGGATCAAGACGAGGACCTGTGGCGTAGCGAGATCAGCAAAATCTGCGAGATTACTAGATCCAACTTACCAGCACCGACTAACGGAGGGGGTCCCCCGATGATCCGTGTTCTGCTGAACTTTTCTCACCTTGTGTACCCGTCGATAGGGCGGGATCTTGCTCTCTCGGCAACTTCCGAAGAGTTCAAGTGGTGAAGCTTGAGTGTCTTGGCGAGACGTGGGGATGGGGTGGAGCAGCAGTGGAAAATCTTCACTCTGCGTCCGTGGATAGTTCCGAATCCTAAGCGAATATTCAAGCTTATGCATCCGGGGCCTACTACGTGGATCTGGCCGTAGGGTTGCCTTGCGGATGTGTCCCTTGCCTTTGCGTCGTACTTGCCGCCTCCTGTGACGGGATCTTGAGAGTTGAGAACCTCTAGGGTGTAACCGACCAAGTAGTAAATTCGGTTAACCTGTCGGATCTGCACGTGTATAGGAAGCTCACTAGGTTGTAGGATCTGGCTAATGTATTATCCAGTTACCACTACTAGCACTAGATTCGCAATTCCTAACCTTCACGGAGCTCGTACGGCCAATGTAGTTCTCGTTTTTGAGGGCAGGAAGGCACTTGCGTGTTACTGTGCAAATTGAGGACTGTATTGATACTTAAGCCTATACCTGCCTGGATTTCTACCTTCTATGTCTTTTACTTGTTAAATCCCTTACCAGGCTCGGCTGCATGTCCCTTCTTTCCTTGACCCATCATCCCAGCTGTATTATCCTCAGATCCACCGGATCCATGGCGTAATCATTATGGTCGCCATATTATGGGTACACTCATCCGGATCCAGGTTGCTTGGATCCACTTCACTGTAAGTGTACACTAACATGGATCTGAACTCTCCAATCATCCAAGATCATCTTGCAACCGTCTGTGATATCCATTGTCCCACGAAAGTTCGAGATCCACTGTATCCCTCATTCCTGTATCCTGTATCCTGGATCCAGGTCGTCCTATGCGGGATCCTCCCTCCTTGGATCCGAACTCGGAAGTATGGGATCCGGGACACCTCGCGGTGGATCTTGATCTCTCGATAGCCGTGGCTACTAGATCCACCTTCAGCTGACACCTACCATCATTCCTTCATAGGGTCCCCACTCGATCCACCCGTACATAGCATATCCCATATCCATCTAAGTGGATCCAGGTAAGGGTTGATCCGAGATAGGTCTTGGTGGATCTTGCCTTCCCGTACATAGCTCATACCAGATCCATCGTCATTTCATACGGGGTGATGCTCGTCATGGCTAATCCACCACAGGCAACTTGCATTCGCGCCGGACAATCCAAATCCTCTCTAATCACTTGAGATTGTCACTGATTCGGGATAGTGATCCCGCGTTAGGTTCATTCTCTTATTTCTGAGAAAGCACTTCACCACAGACCGAGCGAGAACATAAATCAGCAAAGTCAAGTCAGCCCTCATGAGAGATCAAGCATCGGATGCTGAGAAGTGTCTGACCTTTGCGGATCTGCTAGCGGGGCCAGCCAGGAACTGGTATCGGCAGCTGGGCAGATCCACCAGGAACAAGTGGCCAGATTTCTTGCGCAGTTTCCAGACCCAGTACAGTGGATTGGGAGTGTCGGTGGCACGACAATACTACCATGCTCGCCGTAGATCGGACGAATCCCCGCTAGAATATCTCCATCGACTAAATGTGACCGGTCTACGGGCCAAGTTGAAGATCAAGGATGGGGGATCCAAGGTACTACGGGAACATGTGGATCATTTCATCGAGACGTTGGGAGATGTGGATCTGGCCGACAGGCCGACCCTGTTACGCCTTCCAGACGCAGATGAGCATGAAGAAGTCCTGCGGGCTGTGGATCGCGCGAAACACCGCCAGAAGATTGACGACTGGCACCACGGCAGCAACGCCACCCCCGGCAACATTCCCCACACCTGCAACTCCGCATCCCGCGAGGAACACTGCAGCCCGACACCGTTGTCGCCGGTCCTGTTGGAAGGCCCGCCAACTCCGCGCCCGCCAACTCTACGCCCGCAATCTTTGTCGCCGCCGCTCCGACGGTCGCATCGCGAGCAGCATAGCTCGCGCAGCAAGCGTCGGGCAGCCGCCGGACCATATCGGCGCCGCCATGATCGTTGAAGGTATGCGACATCACCGACGGTGTCGCCGATGGGTGACATGCGCGCAAAACGTGGGCCGGTGTCTCCGGTTGCACAAATTAGAGGTCGACCATGTACTGCTTGCCAATAAGGTCGATTTGTCCATGCTCGGTGGCCGTTCCTGGTCGCCCACCTTCGTACGCAGTTCAGCCCTACTGGTCTGGTCTTTCCTACGGCCCCGCACTTTGGCTGGTGCGACTGCGATGATACATGCCGAGTTGGATATTGCCGTAACTCACTCATGCATCTGTATTGCAATATAAACTGTTGTTCCTACGGCGGCAATTGTGGAAATGGCTTGGTGGAGGCTACAAAGGTTGCCTTGGCGAGGAGCGTTGCTACCAGCAATTGGCCGTTGTGGCTCAGGCGCTCGTTGGAGCGGACGAGAGCTTAGGCGAATACCTGGGCGATCTTGAACACGTGAGTGTCTCTCACGTGGCTCGTCCGCGGAACGAGGGCTATCGTCTGCTCATGATGCAAAAACCAGAGATGCCGTCCCACCCCGTCCGCGTATCCATCAACGCTCAGCGAATGGGTAGCTTGATGCGCTTCGTCTACCACTCAAGCACGCCGGTGGCTCGCTATCTCGAGGTCGGGAATGGCCACCGCACGACAATCGTGGTCGCCACTACGCAGACTGTTTTCAAGGTGGGTGATATCACTGTAGACTACGGACCGGACCTTTGGTTCGTTTGGCGTTACGGGCGCGAGAATTGCCGTCACCGCGACATCCAAGATCAACAGGACCCGTAGGCTTGGCGCACGAGGCCGATAACACGTTAAAGTCGAGAGAATGGTAGTGGGAGATTTGATGAACTGGTAACGCTGTAGTTTCAAATTTATCGGGCTCGCTGTTGAAGCTAACAACATCCAAGTTGCATCTGTTCCTTGTACCTTGACGATGCTGTTAGGGCGGCAGCGGGATTAACGTGGTCTCGGCGCTTGGTCTCAATACGGTCTGTAGTAGCAGCTGTAGACAGCAGCTTCAATGAAGCGGAGGCGTGCTTTCTCTCATCCGAAGCAGAGAAAACCAAGCTGTATTCGCTTCATTTTTGCTTTCTCCAAGCCTTGCCTAAATCCCCACCTTCGCACGACCCAGCACCTTACTGGTGCCTCCTGGTACGCTGCGCATTCGCGAAATCTGCCGTCACATGCAACTAACCAGCACTGCTTATTCTATGCTATTAGATGGCGAAGTTGAGTGGAAGCACCAACTACAAGCTGTCCGAAGTGCGCCGACTTCTGTCGCTCGTCGAGCACTACCTCCGGCTTGGTAAGGACGAATGGGAGCGACTTGCAAACTCACACAACTCGAACAGAGGTCGCGTTGTCGCCGAGCGTGACTACGAAAGCCTTCGTCGAAAGTTCATGGTGCTCTACACTGCACGCAAACCTACCGGTGTTGCTGATATGTCACCGCACGTGCAGCTGGCGAAGCAGCTAAAATAAGCGAGCGACGACAAGGCCAGCGTGGTCGACATTGACGACGGTGCCGACGTCGACCAGGAGGAGGAAGAGGAGTGTCAACAGGATCCCTCGTTCGGGTTCGAGGGCGAAGAGGGACTCGGCTACAATTTGCCCATGTATTCTGAAGCTGACACCGGCGATAGCAACGCCACCGACGACCCCATTTAAACCGACGAGACGAACGCGATGGCCGGGATTACTGATAGAGCGGCCCACACTGACTTCTCGGAATTGATCATCTCCTGTGCCATTGGCGAGTAGTTGGATGCATTTGTCACGTCGCACCCTCCCTCGCCTGTAACGCTGTCCGTGCGGCGCAAGCGGCGCTCGACCACACCAAAGAAAAATGGACAAAGGCACACAGCGGCGGTGTCTCTGGTTTTTCCGGTAGCAACCCGCGCTGCTAGTGCTAATAATGTGTAGCCTCCAGACGCTAAAACGCGCTCACAGAGCAAGTAAACGCCCAAGCAGAAGGTCTACGATACGTCTTCCAACGCACCCGAGAACGTGGTCATGATTTCTGAGATTCCGACGGTGCGCACTATGTAGTTAGCCGTTCTGAATAGGTTGGTGAGCCGCACGTCTCGTAGATTAGGGTCGTAGGGCAGTGGCAGGTTGAGGCTACTCTATACTTTTTCGATGCTGCCCATTCCCCACTCGGCAGCCT